GGACCTCTTTCCAAATAGGTAAGGCCAGATTGGGGGCAGCCATGTAAGGCTGTCATCTCTTCTCTCCTCAGCTTTGAAAAACCCCAGATTTTCCATGACCAGGCCTAGAAGGGCAGAGGTTTGGAGCTCCTGAGACCCATAGCCCCAGGGAACTCAGCACTTCACACGCTGTTCTGCCCTGGCCATAGAGAGATCCCGGACACCCTGAGCTGGGGCAACGAAGACAGCAGGGCAGAGCCTGGGGAGACTCTTCCAGCTCCTTCTCCCTAGAGGGGCCCAGCAGGGCACCTTGAGCTTGCTTGGGAGATCTCGCTAAAGGTCACCAGATAAAAATAGGGCTAGTCTGAGAAGGGATGGAAAACAGTTGCTCCTGCCTAGAACTTGGTGCCAGGAGCCGGTGGTCAAGCCAGGGCCTGGGCATGGGTCACGGCCTAGGTTCTTTTCAACACATACTTTGGCAGGCTGCTGGAGAATGGAGTGAAGAAGGAGCACACTGCAGGCCCAAGGGTGGGGAGCATGGCTGCCTTCTCCAAGGCACAAGTGTGTGGACAGAAGGGGAAGATGTCTGGAGACCGCAGCGGCCAGAGCTGAGGGTCAGAGACAGGAGGCTCTCGCTCAGGGTCACACAAAGGAATGGCAGAACCAAGGGCTAGAACCCAAGTTTGAGTTACTAGCTACCTGGCCCCAAGACCCAGAGCTCTCCTTCTCTGACCCTTCTTGGGAGCTGTCCAATGAGGTCAGACCCTTTGGGGTCCCGGTGCTGGGGTTCCCCAAGCTTGGTGCCTCTTTTGGCTCGGCCCTCCCAGGGTGAGAAACTTTAGGTGGTACAGGAGGCCTCGGTGGGGAGACTACCACGCTTGAACCTCAGGCTGCCATTCCAGCCTCGAGGACAGATATTGTAGCCGAGGATGCCAGGCGACTTTAGCCCGGAGTCCTCAGAGTCGAGGGACACGTCGGAGTCTGTGGGCGAGCGGCGGTAGGGAAAAGGCCTGGACGGCGTGGCCTGAGGACTCTGGGGACTAGCGCAGGACGGAGGCCCGACGGGCAACGGGCTCCGCGGGATGGGGGCGAAGGAGGCTCCGCGGAAGGCGCCTGCGGGGCGAGCCGGCTGCGGAGAGCGCATGCGCGGCGGC